AGAGAATGCTAATGCTATGGTAAAGTTAATATTATCTTTAATTTTAATAAATCCAAATAAAATACTTCCCATAAGGCTGGTTAATCTATCTACAATTAAATTGAAACAAAAAGGTAAAGCTTGTGTCTTTAGAAATATTCAATATTGAATTTCTCCTGGTGTTTTTAAATTAAAATTTCTATGATTTAAATGTAATGCTTCTCTTAAAGATATAACAAATCTTCTTCTCCAAATTACCTGAAGATAATAAGTAAATACTGCTGATGGTACATAATCAACTATTGCTGCTATCATGGAAATTCTTAGAAAATCTTTTAAGATATCAAAGAATTTAACTGTATTAAAATTATTGGCTAAATTTGAGAATGCTAAGGTTGCCATTACTGTGTAGTAGGCAGCAACAAAATTTAATACCACAGTGAATATTACGGTGAGCATTAGTCTAGTATCTCTCAGAATTGTCTCCTGTACAATTTTCTTTACTAATTTAGTATATTTTAATATTGATGGCTTTGAATTCATATTTTTTGTTTTTGTCTGATTATTTATTTTTATTTTTTGAAACAAATTTTAATTACAAATGTTTTTATGCTAATAAATGATTTTATTTGATTTATTAGCAATTCTTTTACATGTTTATTAATTTCAGTATTAAAATATTTTATTTTTATTTGATTTTCTCTGTTATGACATTTTTTAAGAAATTAGAGTGTGAAATATCTTTTAATTTAAATTATCGAGTAATTAAGTACCTTTTATTTAAACTTACTTAAATAATTTGTAGAAATTAAAATTTTATACTTTTTATAATCATTAATTTTTAAAAATATTTTACTGTTAAGATACTAAATTATAATTTTCATTAAAAAATGAATGTTTTTATTGTAAACGCTTCGTTACAAGAATTAGAAAATTAGTTTTTAAGAAAAAACTACAACTATAAATTATGTTTAAAAATTTTTACACATCTAAATTATGAGTAAAGAAATTGATAAATCACTACTATCATATCAAAGCCTCATTTCAACTAGTTTGACATATACTTTAACTTTTTAGAGTTTTAACCAATTATAATACTATTGGTTACTTAAAATATAAAAAGGAAATTTATGAAATAAAGGATGGTTAAACAAAAGTTTTATTTAAACCAAATGATAAGTCGTGCAGGGCACGATAACTACATATAACGTCTATGACAGTTTTATTTGTAAATTGGTAATTCAATTAAAAATACTTTTTTATTTTAAATATAAAAAGTTACTGTAAAATAAAAACAGTTTTTGTTGTAATATTTGTAATCATTAGACTGTGTTTTTAATCTTTATTAAATTACTATGAAAAATATTTATTTATATAAAAATTTTTAGTCATGAATATTAACGAGTAGATAGATAATGTTAATAGAGACTTAGGCAATGTTAAAAATCGAGTTAAAAATGAGAATGTAGATTACTAAGAAGATAGATTTAATAAATTTGGTTGTTTATCCTCTACCGATTTAAGCGGTTTTATTTATTTTATAAATTAATTGTATTTTGTTATTTAATTAAAAATTCAATTTACTATTTTTGTTTATTAAAAAAATCGTTTTATCAAAATATATCTGATAATAACTTAATTAATAAATTTGAATTTGTAACTTATAGATTAAACTTTTATTTGTTAAAATAACATCTTGT